AGATGTGTATAAGAGACGTGTGTGTGTGTGTGTGTGTTGGGGTTGGGGTAGAGGTGCTCATTTATCCGCATCATCCTACTATAACCTAAAATTCCCCTACGGGATCACACATTTTCTTCAGTCCAGTATTTGAACTTGTGAAAGCCATCCATTTCTACTCAGATGGTTCAGCAGAAGGAAACATGGCTTGGAACAGAGGGAACTTGGGCCTGATGTCTAGTTCTGATATGATATGATTGCAGGATGTAGAATATATTCATTCTACCTCTCTGGGCTTCAGTTTTCTCATGTGAAAAAGGAGAGATGAGATGTAAGATTTGATTTGGGGTGGTGAACCCGAAAAAACAATATACAGATGATATATTATAGAACTATGCACCTGAAACCTATATAATTTTATTAACCAATGTCACCCCAATAAATTCAATAAAAGAGACACATTTTTTTTTAAAAAAGGAGAGAAGTAGACAATCTCCAGGGTTGCTTCGTGCAGACTGTGTGATTCATTGCCAGGGCAGGCCTGGCCTTATTGGGGTCATAAGGATCAATCTGCTCTGTGAACAGAGATGGTTCCATGGAACATGAAAGAGGAACAACCCGATGATACATTCATTGAATCTGTTATTTCCAAAACAAACTTGTTTCAAAACTTTACTTCTACTACTGCCCAAAAGAGTCAATTTCCCACTAAATGTGTTGACTGCCGTATGCTTCTAATGTAGAAACACATCCTGTTGCCTCATTTAATATCAATGAACATACCACTGTCAAATCCATAAATATACAGTGATTTTTCCTTTTCAATATCCACAGATATAACTACATTTCCTGGCTTAATGGATAACTTCTTCATGAACCTATACTGATTTTTAAATAAGCAAAACATTTCATTTGGATTTGATACTGATTTCCTTTCCTCTCTCTTTTAAAAGAGTTTTTGGGGTGTATTTTGCATTTTCTTTGATTAAGGTAAAATACACACACCGTAAGATTTACTATCTTAACCATTATAAGTGGACAGTTCAGTGGCATGAAATACATTCATACTGTTGTGCAATGATCACCACCATGCGTCTCCAGAACGGAGGGATATGGGTTGAGGAAACCTTTAAAAGACCATCCAGCAAGCATGGCACATGAAAACATGCCTCTCCCTTCCTACCCCCTCCAGGCCCTCACATGACTCAGAAGCTAACTGAACCAACTTGAACTGTACTAACCGAACCAACTAGAAGTAAGGCCTCTGGTTGGTGACAAGAAAACAAAGGAAAAGGGAAAGGACTATGCTACGGAGTCAAGTTCTCCTGCAATGCAGGGAAGGCATCTCTAGGAGAGACGAGCGCTAGACCAGCATTTCCTCGGGATGCTGGAAACAGCTGCCTTTGAGCACAAGCTCGCTGAAGGACCCAGCCGGGCCCCACTCCCAAGGTCTTACACGTCAAAGGGCAGGGGGCATTTTCACTCGGGTTCTCTTTCCCTGCGGCAGGTAACACATTTCAGGCCCGCCGCACAGTGAAAGGCAAGGTGAGTGCCAGGGCACCTGGCTGAGGAAAGGCATGCAGGACCAGGATGTCAATTCTGAAGACAGCATTCACAATGGGTCTGTTCAACCCGACTGCGAATTACTACCAAGCTGAGAGGATCCCCAAGTCTAAGAAATAGAAACCTCGCCTGGCTCTGCGCATTCAAAATGTGCACAGTGTTGCACTAGAAACACCCAATGTGCCAACATTCAACTTCTTAAAATAAGGATTCCTCCTTCCCATTCCCCAAACTCTCCTATGTTCCCTGTTTTGTTGTGGCATCCCATATCCTAGCAGGGACCCAGGATGGACGCCTGTCACCTCACCTTGGCAACATGGGGTTTAGGGGTGCCAACTCTCCATGCAATCAAAAATCTGCATATAACTTTTGACTCCCCCAAAACATAACTACTAATAGGCTATTGTTGAGCACAAGCCTTACCAATAACATAAACAGTCAACACACACATATTTTTTATATGTATTATATACTATATTCTTATAATACAGTAAGCTAGAGAAAAGATAATGTTATTACGAAAGTCATATGGAAGAGATAATACACTTACAGTATTTATTAAAAAAAAATCCACATTTCAGTGGACCCACGCAATTCAAACCCATGATATTCATGGGTCAACTAGAGTATCAAAAAGTGCATTATTTGGGAATGAGATGGTAAATGGGGAGCGGGGAGGAATGGGGATGCTGGACTGGAAATCAAACTATTCCACCAGCTGAGAAATTTTAGGGGCACAGACAAATTGTTTATCGACTTAACAATAGCACAGCTGATGTGGCTCAGCGGTTGAACCTCGATCTAGGATCCAGGAGATTGTGGTTCAATTCCTGGTCAGGGCACATGCCTGGGTTGCAGGTTTGATGCCAGGCCCCGGTCTGGGAACACGCTTGAGGCAACCAATCGATGTGTCTCTCTCACATCAATGTTTCTCTCTCTCTCTCTCTCTCTCCTCCCCTTCCCTCTTTCCCTCCCTCCTTCCCACTCTCTCTAAAATTCAGTGGAAAAAAACATCCTCACTCCTTGGGTGAAGATTAACAAAAAACAGAGCTAAATGCATGAAGATGTTCATTGCGCCACTACTCACCTTATAAAAAAACAGGAACAATCTACATGCCTGTCAGTGGAGGGCTCAGGCATTTGGAAGAAGAGGGTGTTTCTGGGGGCACTGATCATGGCGTGGCAAAGGCAGTGGGCAGGTTAAGAAAGAGAATGGACAGGACTGTGTTGAGCTAGTGATGGGCATTTGCAGGGGGCACAAACTTCTGACCTTGTGGTAAGACTATGGGAAGGCCTTGGAGCGGTGGAGAAATGTCAAAGATACAAAAGGAAAACTTTTTTTAAATGATAGCTATGTCAACTAGTTACCAACAGCCATTGAAGGGGGGCTATGATGATATGATTAGGTAAATATAAAAAACTAAGAGATTCACCTACAAACATCTTTTTCTTATACACAAAGGACTTCTATGTCTCGAAGTTTATTTCCTCTCTTGCTGAAGCACAGACTCCTGTCCCTCGCAGCACCTTAGTAACTGTGACCTCCCAGCTGTAGATGGACATTTCTTTCCTTTGCACTGTCCTCTCTCCCCCAAAACCCAGAGTTCCAGAAGCCATTGCCTAAAAGAGGTTTCAAATATCAAAAAGTCCCCTATCTACCTGCCTATAGAAGAGCTATGTGATAAAGTTCTGTGTTTTAAAAATTAATATCTAAAATATAAAATAAATATGTTACTTAAGAAGGTGAATGACTTACAAATTGGAAGCAGCTTCTGACACTCGGCTCAATGTTACTGCCCCCAAAGGATGCAACTTCACCCAACTGTCTTGGGATTTGGATGGAATCATGCAGGAGGAGGCCCAGCCGGCGCTGGTCACAAAATCCTGTTGAACTTGCCACTTGCTTGAAAAGGTCTACAAAAGGAAGAAGAGAATTGGAACGGTCAAAAAGTAGCCCCAAGTAGATGCTAGCAGAACCTAATGGCCAACTCAGTTCCAGTAGCAATTCTCGAGAGTGGCCAATATTCCCAGGGAGGGGTTACCTTTACTATATGTTAATCTAGACATGTAATATTTTTATGGATGAACTACAGCCCTTAAGAAATGAATTTACATACAATCTCGACACCTGAATTTTTCCTAAGCCAGAACATAATCCTTTGGGGAATATGTTATATATAGGACATAACTACAATAATAAAATAACTGTGTCAGCATTAAGAACCATATAACTAGCTCGAAGCACCATCCCCTTCAGACATCAGAGATTCCAAAATGTCCCAAAATTGGGACTTCTTTATGAATCCATAAGATCATTGAGTTTCTTGAATGTGTTCCCACAGGATGCTGTATATATCACTACGTTGTCTGTGATTCAATAGGTGGCCGTCTTTTTGGCGGAAGAATGACATCTCCTTGAGAGCAGGGACCATATCTTGGTCAACCATGTGCCACAAGTGTCCAGAATAGAATAGTAGTACCTGTGGATAGCAGGTGCCCAATACAGTGGGTTCACAGAATGAATGAACATACCGAACACTTGCAACATATTTTGCTCTCAGAAGTAAAATCATTTTAATCATACCTTATATTCAAATAAAAGTTGCCCCAAAAATTAAATCCAAGAAAGCTTTTCCTACTCATAAGCACTTTAAACTCTAAAAAATTGAATATTTTAACGAGACATCTAAGATGGCAATAACCAAAATGAAACTGCACACACTGCTTTTACCCTCTCTTTAACACACACACACGGATTTTTCAAAATTATGAATTAGTTTCAAATATCCCAATTTGAAGTTAATATTTTTGTTTCACCAGCCTCAAAACACATTCCCTCTTAGTAGTTATTTGAAACACAGGCTTGAAGCTCCCCTGATGATTTAATTTAGTATTACAATGTGCTGGTACAATACCAGGAGAAGGTTAGATTATAAACTAACCTATAATAAGTATATTTAAAAAGGAAAAAACCGCCTGGCTGGTGTTGCTCAGTGGTTGAGCATCTACCTACGAACCAGGAGATCAGGGTTTGATCCCCAGTCAGGGCACAGGCCCAGGTTGCGGGCTCGATCCCCAGCAGGGGGCGTGCAGGAGGCAGCCGATCAATGACTCTCATCATTGTCTCTCTCCCCTGCTCCCTTCCTCTCTCTGAGATCAATGAAAACATGTAAAAAAAGTAAAAAAATAAAAGGAAAAAAACCCACAGAAAAATTTTATTTTATCCAAGATACGTTCTTAAACGGTTAACAAAATCTGCTCAGTTATTTGTCTTTGGTTTTTAGGATGAGAAAACTCCAGTGGAAACTACATAAAAGTGAGAGCTCAAAAGGCTTGTGTAGTTTTTGGCTGACTCCTGGGGGGGAAATGAGCAGTAGGACACATAGTGGCTTTGGAGGAATTTAATCTCTTTTATCTCCTGCCTGTCCTTAAGCTCAGCACATCTCCTGGTCCCCGTGAGGCTAGGCCTTCGGGGGAAAGAGAAAAGACTAAAATCGAGGAGGGTTCTTTAATATTCCTACTGAAAAGATTTCTTACGAGCATTTGAGCATTTAAAGGGGAAAACACATTCGGTCCTTCAGGGTGGGAACGAATGGTTGCTTTGTCATCTCAACCATCCCTCCTCTAGTGTTTGCTTTTAACCCTTTGCGGTCATATGAAATTTGGACATGGGTGGCGTACTGGTCGGAATTAAGAGCTTTCAGAGAAATTATGAACTGATACATGAATGAATGGAGTTAAGATTCGTACGGTTCCTTGCTGTGGTGGCTGAGAGCAGACATACGACCGGAACGGTAAAAAAGCTTTGGTGGCTGAGAGTAGACAAACGACCGCAAAGGGTTAATTTGGATTGACAAATTTTTAAGCAGAAGAACCCAATGGCTAATCAGGAGGAAATTCTATAAGGTGATATTTACCCCGTAAAAACTGGCAAGCTCCAATCTGTCTCTCCAATAACAACACGTTAGTCACATCACAGAATGGGCTGTGTCAGTGCACCTCGCAGTAAGATGATTATAAAATAAACACTGTTTCTTGAACACGAATGCCAGACAGTAGTCTTTAAGTAAGAATCCAAAGACTAGGCAAGAGCACGGATTTAAGCGTCACATTTATTTTTCCGACTTATACAAAGGGGTTAGGAAATCAGGCTTTATTCCCCAGGAACATGGGTTTTATTCAGACACAGTCAACGTAATACTCAGGCTGCAGAAGTTAATCCTTACTCTCTATTTAAATACCTGCAAGTTAATGTTTGACAGGGAACAGCACAAACCACATTTTATGACATTCTAAAAGCAGCTCTGCATCTTACACGGAGAACTTGCTGTCAAGTAAGAACACTGCCGTTCTCCACCTAGAGCTGGGGTAATTAGCCAACGTTAATAAAAGAACACAGAGTTAATACACATGACTTACATCTGTACTTGTCCTCCAAGTGTGCTTTACACAGAGAAATGATGCCAGTCTTAAAAGACAGGACCCGGATCCTCCCCGTTCGTCCCCTATTTTAAATAATCAAATCAGAAAACGATTACTGACATTTTACTAGACGGTAAACCCTTTTCAGCTAAGGAGAAAAACACACCTTGGATATGGGAACTCTATTGACCATTGTTTCATTAAGATTAAGAACTTTTCTGAGTTCATTATCTATTTGGCTGATGACTTAGAATGTGATGGAAATCTGACCAACTCCGCCAATGAATATTTACCAAGTTTTCAAGTCTCAAAACCCTTACTTGAGTTGTAAGAGTGGCTCTCCATAAAATAGGAAAAATATCCTTCTGGTCATCCATGGAGAGCCGCCTGGGTCTAAGGCGGTAAATGGATGAATCCCTACTATGCACTAAGCTATTCCAGCTACTGAAGCAAATTACTTACTTTGGTTATTGAAGCCAAAGAAAAATTACCAGCAACTAACTGCTCTGCCCTCTTCAAAACTCTTTTAGATTTTCATTACATTGCCCTTCCTCAGAAGAAACTTAACCACTTCAGGCCATATGACACAGAATGTCAAATATGAATGTTTATCTCCTTAAGAAAAATATGATACGGTCTATTAAAGAGCTTCAAATATATGATCTTAAAGAGCAACTGAAAAATAAGCTATTGCTATGTCAATGCTTTAATATATATACTTTGAGTTTACATATAAAGCTGAAATACAGCATCGCATATGACAAATTTATTAATGTTTATTATATCCATGGGGAAATTTAGAAACGAAAAGTTTTCATTTTGCAGAAAATGTCTTTCAATGATTTTCAGCTTTTGTTATGGAAAACAACATTAGCTATTGGTAAAAAAAAAAAAAAAAAAAAAAGACTAATTCTGAGTGAAACGCTGTGTTTTAACATTGAGCTACCTTGTTATATCAGAAAAGTCCATGTAAGGACTATTTTTAAAAAATACGTTTTTACTGATTTCAGAGAGAGGAAGGGAGAGGGAGAGAGATAGAAACACTGATGAGAGAGNGCACTTTGAAATTACAAAGGATAGGTCCCAACCGTGGTTATTTTTGGTGAGCAATATGCTCGACTTTCAACTAGTACAATTTACCAAATCCCAGTCAAACAGAAATCCTGGATTCTGATGCGTTAACAAAAAAATTACTATTGTTGGCATTTTTTCTCATTCTTCTTCATTGTTTAAAAAAGAAAATCAAAGTTTAACAAATAAACTTTGTGCAGTAACTCAGGTCTTCAGGGAACTAAACTGCTCTCAAATAATTTCCAGGCACGTAGAAAGAAAGTTATATACTCAGAACCCATTCATATGTCATCTGCAGAGAAAATGGTGCTAAAATGCATGTGAGGAAAGACCTGACTACAGGCCCTATCAAAGCAAATGTAAGGGTAACCTACAATTACAATCCAGTGTATTCAAGGGCATGGTAGATACCGATCAGGATTCAACAGCCAGGTGATCTCAGAATTTAAAAAGCAATCCCTTATAAAATGACAAAGAAAAAAGGGTATACATTTTAATCCAGGAGGCGGTAGAAATCTACAGCAAAGGCAAAAGGCGAAATAGTTGACATGCAACTCGTTTTCGAAAACCTTCCCGGATTTCCAAATGGGGAGATGTTCTTTTTGACATGTGAAATGAGGCATGTAATAATTCTGAGGTCTAAGAAGAATTCAGGCAAAATTAAGACCAATTCCTTCTGCTACCTTCCTCAACTGTCTCCATTAAAGCTCAAGACAAAAATTCAAACTGGGGATCTCTATGTTGAATCCCAAAGAAATAAACGAGAGCTGTCTAAGAAAGAGTGATGAATTGGAGGAGCCTGTAAAAGCTTATTTTAAAAATAAAACCCAAAACTTCCTCTGTTCGAGGAGCTGAGTCTGCTGTATTAAGGGCTTGTTTTCATTTCATTTGGCTTATCAACTCATAATCTCCTGCGCAGATCTCCAGAGTATCAGCTGACGCTATTCAGATCTGGTGACAGGTATGAAAGCATCTCCGGGAGCACATCTGCCAGTGAGAGGGAGCCACCCCCAAAGTGGATGGGGGAATTCAGGACACACAGGCAAGAAAGCGAAAGAACCAATGGCTACACGCTGCCCCATTATAAAAAATGAGTATCTCTGGGTTTTGTTTGTTTTCTAATCTGAGAGCAGTCAACGTCCTAGCTCTTACCTCCTAGCTTATGAAAACAAAATATTTTTCAGCTCCAATAAATGCAAAAATGATTTCTCACAGGGACAGCATTAGGTCACACAGCTTCATGAAACTTTCAACCTTAGGACCAAATTCCTAGACCGGAGTCCTGTTGTGATGCTAATTAAACCTTCACAGTTCCATACAATGAGCCTCCTGTGACGAGTCTGAAAGAAAAGCTGGCCGTACATACGTGTCATAAACATTCAGCAGCCAGTTGAGACACATATCAACGCAGAGGGGGACGTTGACCAGATTGTTGTGCTCTTGCTCCAGGCGGTCATAAACAGTGGTCAAACAATTAATGATCTGCAGGATGTCCATGGGCTGGTCATTTTGCTTGAGGTTGTGCTGATCCAAGGCATCACATGCGGCTGACAGGCTCAAGAGATCCACTGCAAAAGCCACATAAAATCACAAGTGATTCAAAGGGAGGGGGAAGAGTCCTCCTTCCACTATTTTTCCTTTACCTTTGAGAATCTGGTAGAGATGTCTCGTGTCCTTTTGTAAACACCAAACCCGAACCCTACCCTCTTTTCTCTCTTTCTTTTTTTATTTTTTAATTCCAGTTTACATTCAGTATTATTCTGTATTAGTTTCAGGTGTGCAGCCATGTGGTTAGACAATCATGTACTTTACAAACTGGTCCCCCTGATATTTCAAGTATCCACCTGGCCCCGTGCATAGTTCAAACCCTACCCTCTTTCATTTATTTTTATTTAAATATGTTCTTATTGATTTTTATTGAGTTGAGAGAGAGGAAGGGAGAGGGAGAGAGAAACATCAATGATGAGTCACTGATCAGCTGCCTCCCACACGCCCCCTGCTGGGGATCGAGCCCGAAACCCGGGCCTGTGCCCTGACCGGGAATCGAACTGACCTCCTAAGTCATGTAAACCTACCCTTTTTAAAGAGTTTTTATTTTCATCCCTCAGCTCTAAGTTTGATGACTTTGACGTGTGTTCAGGATCTGAGGTGGTTCTCACATGCGAGCAGAGAGATAGTTCCCATTCTTGAAGTACTGGGGAATATTTGCGAGTTGAGGGGGCCTATCCTGTTCTACATAAACCAAGTCATTTTCAACTGAATAAAGAAAAAACTATTTTACTATGTTACTGGAGATTTTGAAAGAGCTCTTGACCATACTTTCTTGTATTAGCATCAGAGAAGGTCAGCTTCATTACACTGCATGGTTAGGGTGTGTAAACTCTAGTTCTAGTTATGCATTTATAATTATTAAACAGTTTCCTTCTTGAAATATCAGTCACCTCACAATCTTCCTGCTATCTTAACATTAGGTGAAAAGATTATCTGCTTCATGAAAATTTTCCACGGGCAAACTAAAATAGCTGCACAATTGATCCAGTTCCATGCCTGAGGCTTACTTATTTCTTCTTTCACTTTCAGATTGTATTTGACACTGTACTTTTCGAATCCTCTAAGACCTTTATGAGTGTGTGGGGAGGGCAGGGGGGAGTTCCCTTGATCGGAGGTGGTGTTTAATCAAGTGCCAAAAGACGAAAATTTAACAAAGGTGAAATCTCAACCTTGTCCAGCATCAGCATATCGCAAGCTTTATTCCCAAGTGTCATGAAAAGATGCTTTTTTCTAAAGCCAGCTTATTAGCCAAACTGGAAATGCAACAACAACATGCTGTTACAACACCTTCTACACCTAAGCTCTGGTCTGAATTCTCAGTCCTTTGAGAGCAAGAATCAATGGTAATTAAGTACATTTCTCACGCATCTCAGAGGAGGAGGCAATACAATTATAAATTGTAACCGCAGATAAACACCGGCCAACCCAGTCAGTAAACAGCTTGCCCAATACTAAAGAGATGTAAATTTAAGGCTTTAATGTATTTTACCAGCTATTTGTGGCCGATTCTAATTAAACATTAAGGAAAAAAACAAAAACAGTGGTTAATACCTATGTAGGTTAATACCTAAGCAGTACATATTTTTCTTTTAAAAAAGGGAAATAAGTACTTTCGAAGTTTCCCTGGAAGCATGAAAGAGACCTGGTGGTGGGAGCAGGAGGGTTTTTTCTTTGCTTTTCATCCCAGTGAGCAAAGCTCTGTGATTCCATGCACCAATTTCCCTAAAAGGCCCCGAACGAGCACCCATCTTATCAAGGCAAAGGCCACTGGGGAGGAAAAACATTTTTCTGCACCCTTCTAAGTTCTTCTGGCTGGTCTAAGAATTAAACTGATATGAAACAGGGTAAAAGGAGGGAAAAAAAAAAAAACCCAATTTAATTTTGTGCAAATGGGGAATCCACACAAACATGAACATTCCAAAGACAGTAAGTCAAGATGAGTTATAATTGTTATTCTGGACTAAGGAGAAAGAGGCAGAGATCTGGAACTTCAAAGGCAATTCACAGGAAGATGATGAGAGTTAATGTTTAGTAAAAACATGTTTTGCTGGGGCATTCAGGAACTGTGGGCCACAGAGAGGACTTTGATCAAATGGGCCTTCCTAGGTTCCTCCCTACCACACCTAGTTCATATTAAACTATAGTTATCTGTGATGATAGCTCCCTGCCCGGAGCAAGTCTTTTAGGCAGTTAGGGGGAAGGTCAAAAGTTCTTCCTGAGTCTGCTTTCGGCTCAAAGTATTCCACATGGCAAAGGGACACATTTTAAGGTGGAGATTTTGCTACTCTACAGGCCCCACTCCTTTCGCTTAAAAATACTGTCAAGATAATGGCCTCTTTACAATGGTGACTTTGCTTGAAGTGGCAGAAAGGAACCTAACTTGATTTGAGAGGGAGGCAGGTAGGAAAAAGAATAAAGAATTTAAAAAATAACAGTGCAAGCAGGAAAGACACAAGGACGGAAAGGCCCAGCGGGCCCCCCATGGGAGGCTGGAGAGGGGTAGAGACGAAAGAACTCAAATTTTCATTTTCTCTTCTGTGTGCTTGATTTTCTCTGAGGGCACGGCTTCAGGTGCAGGTAGTGAGAACATTCAAAAATGCAGCCAGGCCCGGTTGAGCATCAACCCAGGAACCAGGAGATCGAGGTTTGAGATCGAGATCAGGGCACATGCCCGGGTTGCAGGCTCGATCCCCAGCAGGGGGTGTGCAGGAGGCAGCTGACTAATGACTATCATCACTGATGTTTCTATCGCTCTCTCTCCCTCTCTCTGAAATCAATAAAGATATATTTTTTTAAAAAAAGAAAAAGAAATGCAGCCCACCATTTCACCAGTGGCAGAGAGAAATGGGTTTCTTCTAAACACCAATATTCCTAACATGTTTCTTTATATATTGAAGGAAGCTGTGGGAGGTTTGAAGTTTCTCTATTATTCTCTTTTGTGTTACTCTGCCTTAATCATAATAAATATTTTGCTTTATATCTAAGGATAGAAGAACTAACAAGTGAGAATTTTTAGACTCACTTTTGTAAGTCTAACTTACCACTGCAATGGAAACAAACACACCGACAGCAAAATTGCATGAATTTCTTTTTAGCAGGCCTAGTCTTATCTCGGTGCAGGTGAATGGGTAACAAGCAGAATAGAAAATTTGGAGTATAAATAGCTCCAGAGTGGAGCAGAGTGATTGCTCTGAAATAACAGGAGCAAAAGATGACATAGTTGGGAGAGAAATACTGTGCAGTGCGCTCTGCTAAAACTCGATGTGGCTAAACACAAGCACCATCCATCACAGAACACTGGAAAACACACTCCTCAGAACAAACATATCAAACCGAATTCCACTTTCATGGAACAATTTTTAAAGACTTCTATTTAGGGATGCATAGCTGAAACTGCAGGCTTGAAAAGAGGTGAAAAAATCGATAAGGGCAATTTAATTGCCACACAGATATACACTTAAGTGTCCAAAACGAACATCTTCTAGAATATATTGAGATTTTTTTGAAAGCCTCAACAAGCAACCAGCAGACATAACTTTGTGACACTATCCTTTTACCTCAAGCTAGGAATTTCCATTTAGGGGAAAAAATATATATATTGTTTAGTGTATTCACTAGGGAATATATTTCAAAGCTATATTAAAACCCAAGTATGTTCTTATATACCCTCTCTTTCAAAAATTGTTTACAGTAGAGGATGCCATAGGTTTTGACGGCACTGAGTGGGGACCCCTTGGTGGTGCTCCTAATACAAGAGAGGGGCCTGGACAGGACACTATCCTCTTTGCTGTGTTGGAAAAGCAGCACGTGGCAGGTGGGGGACTTCAGCACTGGATCCCCATTAATGGTTCCTGAGGCTCTGGTTGTGCCTAATCATCCTTTCAACAGTCTAAGTTCAAGTGCTAACTCGATTCCTCTCCTTCCGTATGACAAATGAGGAGGAGAGGTGGATTTTAGGGTCTTTTACAGAATCATAGGCTTTGAGATCTACAAGGCACCTTTAGAATCGTTCTGCAGTAGAGAAAACCGAGACCAGAGATAAGAAGACTTCCTGTGGGTGTTAGGGCAGGACACCCAGGCTTTCGGGCTCCTCATGGAGGTACACACTGAAAAGCAGAAAGGGTGCCGCAGAGGGTGTCCTTACAGGCTTTACTGAGAAAGAAAGAAAACCATTCTTTGTTCCCCGCTAGTGATAACAGGAGAAGAGAGCACCACAAAGTTGGCTAGAATAAGTCCCACGGTGCTGACACAACTCCGAGCTCATCCCCTGGGTAAACCCGAATACTCTGGGTTAATACATAAATAATCCTGTAAGCTAACTAGTGCAGACAGAAACACAGGGGGGTTCTCACGGGATAGCTGCTATGTGCTTGCTGACTTTTTTTGCCCAGGCAGCAGAAGGCACCTGTGGGAAGAGGGAACTTGTTGACATCATACGAAACTCACTCTCCAGGCAGCTTGTATTTCAGGCTGAAGGCCTTTCCAAGCAAATCTTTGCCCAGCAAAGAAGTCAATGCACTTTGATGTAGTTATCTGTGCTGCGAGAGAGAATTCCAGAGACTCCGGAGTGGGCACGAGATGTTTTGCTGAAACAGCCACATAATGCACAGCCTTGATGAAAACAATGAAGTGCCTTTTTGTGTTGACATGTAGCCACGGGTTCCAGGTTATCACTACTGTTTATTGCTCGCAGTAACACTGGCCATTTTTTTACCTGGTCTCAGTGAGACCTGTGGAGGCCACTGTGCTTGGGACTAGCTAGGTAGGAAGACTATGCCCAGGTTACCAGCAGGCTATTAGAAACCTGGTCGAAGCCTCTGGTATGTGCTCCCTGCTTGCCAAAGTGACTTGTGCTCACATGGGTGTTGGTTCTTGATCCAAGAGAGAAAGTGCAGCCTGGTGAGGCCCTTGGAGCTTGCACCTGGCCTCTCTGGACCCTATGACGCGAGGCGGCCTGTGGCTGTGACACATATCCTCATTTTAATGATGTTGGTACACTGTAGCCTTTTCCTGCAAT